GACCCCCTGATATAGGCTCGCGGACCCCCAGGGGTCCGCGGACCACACTTTGAGAAACTCTGATCTATATTATCTGTATTATATTATATAAAGATATAACTTGCCATACGTATCGAACAATTCGTTTATCGTTATTCGTTTATCACTAAATGTATAGCCATCACCGCATCGTACATATAGTTACTAGCCAATAGGTACATAGGTAATGATAATTATTCGGGCCGCAACTCACCTATAGCTAAAATATTGTTGGGCCGCAACTAACCTACGGCTAAAATATTATCGGGCCGGAATTCACCGGTCTCCAACACCGGAAACGACACGTCGGGCCGCAACTCACCCACACCCGGTACAGTAGTGCACGCTATTGCTGTGCACATTTGTACAATGTAAAAATTAAAACAAGTCGAAACACGCAACACGAGTTATAATGGAATTGATGTGCACATATCTCTAGTTAGAGATGTGGAATTTACCAGTAAAAAATGTTTGGTAAATTTACCGGTAAAATTTACGTAAATTTTTGTAAAATTCAGTAAATCGGTAAATTTTTTTTTTCCTTTTTACCTACCAATCTATTTAACATGTGGAAGTGTAACACACTATAACATAGTCACGACAGAACGAGAATGTAAAATATTATCAGTGTTTACTTTTAAATATATATATATATATAGATTAAAATATACATTAGTGAAGGGTAACGGGGGTATACAGCATATACCCAATACGCTATTTTTATCCATGGCGTATAGCTTATGAGAAATTGATGATACGTGGGTATACGGTCGTAAATAGCGTATAGCTTGTAATTTAACAAATAACTACATAATACCTTGACTAATCTGACTTATGGTTATATTTATGACGTGATTCGGTATCGAATATATTATTATTATTATTATTATTTTTTTTAATGAAAAATTCAAATTTTTCATCATTTAATAGCAAGTTTCTATTATCAAACAGTCATAATTAAAGATGTGTAGTTCATGAGTGAGTTTTTTTGGTTCCTACCATACGATAGTTACTACATGAAATAAGGCGTATACCCATGATTTATTTTAGCATTATATCACTGATAATAAACTAAAATACTGAATACAGTGCCTGCATTTTATTATCGTATAGGTTACGCTATAATTATATAAATGCTACTTTGTATTAAGTTGCAGATTTTTATTTTATAACAGAATAAATATGCATAGGATATATATATATGGTAACATCCTCTAATACTGCTTAAAAATACCATTGTCCAAAATAATGGAAAAAAATCGTAAACAGCATAAATATACGTGGATGGGTGATTTATAAAATTTACTGAATAGCATTCATTCATATAATTTAACGGTTGGCGAAAAAATTGTTTTACATACAATTTTATCATTGCAGAATCTCTCAGGAGATAATTGTGTGTTGTCACATTCCATTTAAAATCTAATCGTGGGAGTAATAAGCGACTTTATACCAGCGGTTCTTAACCATAGGGTCGCCACCCAATTTTGGGTTGCCAATAGTTTTAAATGGGTCGGATAAAAATTTAAAAAGTTAGTATAATATTTTTATTTTTAAGTCTTATAAATAATAAATGAAACCTCATGTACGTTGGTTATCATGGAGAAAAATTTTAACGAGATTTTTTGAATTAAGAACTGAAATAGAAGTATTTTTAAGAGAAAAAAATTCACTGTTATCCATCCATTTTCAAGATATAATTTGGTTGACAAAAGTTGCGTATCTATCAGATATTTTTTCGTTATTAAATGAGTTAAATTTGAGTATGCAAAGGCCATTAACTAATATTTTTACATGTTGTAATAAAGATATTAACCACAATCAAAACCAAATCAAGAAACAAGCTTGATGTCGAACCCACGATGCGTATTTCACTTACTAATTCCATAGAAGAACTCTAAATTGATTCATTGGTAAAGCAACATCAAGACATAGGAAGTCATTAAATTAAAAATGATTTAAAAAACAATACAATATTATTAAAAGAAATGTTTATTTTTAAATATAATGTGACTATATTATGACTTGTTATGAATACAAGTAATATGAGTAAAAAATGTTATTCAATTAAGAGTACCAAATAGTTATTTTTTATTCTGCCATTGAATATTATTTATAAAAAGGTCGCAGAAAAAATTTGGTAAATATCTTGGGTCGCCACTACACAAAGGTTAAGAACCAATGTTCTATACGATTTAACAGGATCGTGAAAAACGTTTCGAGTTATAAGGTATCACGCACAATTTTATTATTATGTATCAAACATAGGATCTTTGATTACACGAATAATACATGCATATTAAATATTAATTTTGAATCAAACACAATTAGTAAAAGTTTTTAATAATGTTCTAGTAATCAAAATGTGACGTATGAAAAATATTAAAAATATAAATTATTATGTTATTAATGTCATCACAGGAATTATTTTGTCAATAGTCCTTGTGAAAAAGCATTAATTATTTTTTAAATAATCACATTGAAATATATTATTTTCTTTATAGTTTACAAACAGATTAATTTTATTATTTTTGATTCATTATGTTACAAATTAAGTATTTATATACAATAATAGTGCACGCTATATGGCTTAATAATATACCATATTAAAATCGGTGGGGAGTGTTTACCAATTGGTGTTTTGGATACAAATACTACATTGCACAAACATTACGATTTACACTGACATTAATTAGAGTCTACGATATATTAAAAAAATCGTTGAGTTATTATTCAACTTAACACGACTCAACACATTAAATCACTGATAATTAAATTCTACTGATCATACTACTCTCTAAATATTTAAGCCATTACTACAACATCTTGCCTCTTTTCTCTATTTTGCAAGATTTTAAACCAATCTTCTATACCCATTGCGTATAGGTCATCTATCACTCTATAAATTTACCTTTTTTTGGGGCGTCCTTATAGTAATTTTTCTTGGGGTCTTTATTCAAAAGTAAACTATTGTGTATTACCCAAGGTAAGATCTCTTTGGATTCTTTGACCTATAATGAAGTGAGTTAATGAAGCCAATCTCATAATTATCTGCAGTTCCGGTATCTTTTTAGTTAACTTTCCAAAATCGTGTTGAACACAGGGACGCAGATTTATCCATCATACCTTATATTCGAATGTTCATATCCTCTTCTTTATATCTGTCATAGTTATTTAGGCTTCTTTGCGGTTTATCCGCAAGTCAACGCAGGTCTTATAATTGACACTTATAATCTCATGTTGAATCTTCTCGATAGCATTTCGGAGTTAAGAAATTTCATTGATGCATAAGTGGTATTTTCTGCTATTCTTCTCCGAATATTTATTTCTTTATATTAATCGTTTTTGATACTCAATGTTGCTCCTAGATATTTTAATCCATCCACTTTTTTCAAAAATTAGTCCTTCTTTTTGCTGAGGGCCTACCTCACTATCAATTAATTTCATTAAATTTATTTGGAGTCATTGCCGTTGTTCGATAATTGACTGCCTTTTACGCACTACATTTCTCTTACTACTTTTTTAGCGTCAATTTTTAGAGAATTGGAGACATTTTATTATCTTGCTTTAATCCTGAGCCTATTGTTAAGGGGGTAGATATTATGTTGTCCACTCTAAATTTTTACTGTATGTTCTCCATGCACAGTTTGGTTAGTCTAATTAATTTTTTTATCATGTGCTAGCTTATGATAATTAATTTTAATTCAGGTATTTCTTTTAATACTCCGTTTAAATGATAATAGTTATGCTCAAATAGTACTATAAAATTAATATTATTTTTAAAATTTATTTTTGTATACAGTAGAAACTTGATAAACCGTAATTTTCTGTTATCCGTCATCGCTATCGTTAGTGAGGAAATCCCGATAAATTCGTTGTAGCGACTATCGAGCGTATAAAAATATATTCTAATTTCCAACATATGCGAAAAACGCACGTGAACGAACAAATTAAATTATTTTTAATTTGATTAGTGCCAACGATTAACCTGATCTTACGCTAACATAAAATACGAAAATTGTAGTTAAAAAAGCTCGAGTGTCAAAAAAACAAAAGAAAATAACAGATTATTTTGTTTTCTAGTTCCCTGGGTAAAATTAGTAGTATTTAGTATGGTATGTAGTATGTAGTATATATGTGTATTATTTTTATCTGAAACTATATACGTTTATTGCGAAATTCTATTCGATTAACCGTCATAGTCCCGGTTCTGACGGTGACAGTTGATTGAATTTCTACTGTATACATATATATTCGTAATAAACATATACTTATTTTAAATCTAAAATATTTAAAATAAAAACGTAAGAAAACGTAAGTAAATAATGTTTTATTTTTTAATTTCAAGGTTGATAAATTCTATAATATTGGTTTTGGATTGTTTAGAATTATTTAGAAACTATTATTAAGTACATAAAATGTATTAATTTGTTTATTAAATTGGAACTAATTTGTTCTCATATAAAATGACATAATTGGTATAATAATTTAAACTCAAAAAATATTTATACGAACATCATTTAACCTAAATATTTGACTTGATTTAGTACTGTATACAATTTAAATGCATTTAACGCTAGACTCAAATTAAATGGAATCTAGAAGATAATATTAATGTATATGATTTAAAAATACGTTATCGACTTAGCACATTTTTTATGTTTAGAAACTTAGTCAATTGTATTTTGTACTACATATTTATTAGCAAAATTTAGTTAATTATAAGATTATACTTATTAGATTGTATGATAAACTCATAATAAAATCATAATGGATCACATTCTTTTTAAATTTACTATATTAATTTTTTTTTTTATAAACACTAAAAGTATATGATACTTTAAAATGTATTGACGTTTTAAGATGATTTAATTATATTTTAGTTAAAAAATTAACTAATATACACGTATAAAATATATAGAATCATTTTTGATATCTTATTAACAACTTATTGATAGTTACCTAATAATTTCTGCACTTACCTCAATATCTGTTTAACCGTCATTGGCTTGTTCGGAGTATGAGGTAATAATATTTTCTGTGCTCCCTATAATACAGACGAAATTTTTTTAATTTTTTGATCATATTAAAATTTTCAATTTTATTTTAAACTTAAATTCTCGAATATAATTAATATGCTTTTTGATAAACATTTTACAAGTATTAATTTTTTTACAGACTCCATAAAAATATTTTTAAATTCATCATTTTACATATTCAAAATAATTTAATTATTATTGTTCATTTAATATTACCAATAGCTATGATTAGGTATGTACCAGTTGCAGTGCCGTATTTAAACATTTTGCGCCCCGGCACAAAAAATAAATTGGCGTCCCTCTAAGGGGCCTACCAGTTGCGGCTCGTGCTATGGGGCACATGGGTACGTGCCCCACCTACAAAATTGAAAGAAAGAAGAAGAATTTAAAATTGAATAGCTATTTGTATTTCTTCTAACCATCATAATATTGTTGGTAATTGGCAGAGGCGTAAACTGGGTGGTGTAAATGAGGCACTTGTAACACCGCATCTAAAATGTGGTGATGCAAAGATATGTTTTTGCGCCACCAGAAAATCATTGAAATTTGTATACTTATAATATTATTTTCAAGAGCCAAGGAAATCAGCATACTAAAAACAAAATTTGATTGTTTTTTTTTATTAATATTATAATAATAAAGGTTTTACTGCTAAAATAGTTCAAAATTTATTTGTTATTAAAGAAATATATGGGAAAATATATAGTTTATTGGGAAGAATTTTACTTAGGAAAATGGAAAATTGGTGTGTTTGAAATTATAAGTTGAGAATATGCCTCTGCACCACCAGAAATTGGATCCAATTTACGCTACTGGTAATTGATATATATATTTGAAAATATTACTGAAAAAAAAAAAAATTGTATGAAATACGGGCGCTCCAACGTACATACTGATACTATATTATACAGTCATTAGGTGGCAAGCACAAATTCGTTGTGCCTCGGTGGCCCGATCAACAGATTTCCCAAACTTTTTGACCAAAATTAGTACGGCGTTACTGGGCTCAATTGTATTGTACCCGAATTCTATTTTTATAAGGATTTCCATAGATTGATAAATATTTTGTCTGTCTTATCGTCTTCGTATCGTTATCGTCGACCATCTTCCGTGGCACAGAACAAACATTAATTATTTTATCATAGATTATAGGAACATGATAATAATTAATCATTTTTTGTTTATTCTTTTATTTCATTAAGTGTTATATATTTTCATTTGACGGTGCTCATTTTTATACGATACAAATTTACAATACCTAATTTATTAAATATTTTTTAATTTAATTTAATAAAGTCATCAAAATATTCATGAAAAAAAAGACAGACAAATCGATTTGGAATTCAAAAATATTACTGATTAACTATATAATTATATTTATTATTTATTTATATATTATACATTATATTTATTTTTAAACCATGATTTTATTATTTTTAGATTTTTTATTATTTTTTGTACAACATACATAATAAGCGTATATTAAAAGATTTTTATACACTAACAATTTTATTATATTTAAAAAATCAACAGGAATTGTAGGTAAATTCAAAGTGGAGATAGTGAAAAAGGAGGAAAATATTTGTGCCCTACCTTCAATGAACCCCACGACCCGCCACTGGGGCCTACCCACAGAAAATATAGGAGATAGATACTCGTGAACCTTTTAGATACTCTAAAATCAATGCTATTTTTGTGTAGTAGGCACGCCACAGCAAATAACATAATACGTCGTATTATTATAAATAACTTATGTTTATTGACATTATCACAACAAATTTGAGAACTAGTATTATGTATATTAATAATATTCTAAATCGCTGATAATTATATAGCTATATTGTTATAAATACAATAATAATAAATATTAATAAATTAGACACATTAACATTAGTTTATGATACTGTTATTAAAAACAAATCAAATAATAATTTCAAAATAATTTAAGAAGTTTAATAATTCATCAGTGAGCAAATGTCAGACCACAAAATTTTGGCATCCCCAAAAAACTGGCACTCGGAGCAGTTAAGTTAGGGGGGGCAACCCCCCCCTAAGTGCGGCCCTGACCAGTTGAAATTATGTGTTAATATATACATGATTAGGTACAATATATAGCCTATAAAAAAGGAGAGGTAAATATACAATTAATAAATTAAATATAAAATTATATATGAAAATAAAGTAAAATAGTATATAATTATAGGATCAAATTTTTATATTTGCAATTATATATGATATTGTATTCTGTTATAATAATATAATATTATAAATTATACAAATAATATGGATAAAATGAAAATTATATTAATAATAATAGCCTACTTGGTGCAAAGCGGGAATTTTACCAAAACGCGTAATTTTAGACGCGTTTAAGTGAATAGTCGATGTAAAAGTAACGACAATTATATTAGGTTTTAGTGGAATACGCTTTTTATTATATTTTATTATATCTTTATTAGTATTTTTATAGTTGTTAGAAATTATTATATGATACAATGTATACCTATTTCTTTGATTGGTAAATTTTACTAAATGAAAAGCATTGACGTTGTTAACACGATGAAAAATATTATGCGAGTGTATAGTGAAAAGGATAAGGTTTTGTTAGTTTTAAATAATTCTAATTTTTATTAAGATCGTATGTAAAATCACACAAACGGATGTAAAATGGTGATGCACATTATTAATGTGACATTAAAATCGTTCACGTTAAAACTGTTTATGAGTGATAATAAGTAAGTGATGATAAGATGGTTTTAAAATCGGTTATCGCATACAACCATTTGCCGCGAAAAATTTAACAAAAGTAACCATTTCTAATAATTTACAACGGAAAGTTGTGGATGAAATTTCTAAATGCCCATTAAAATTACACGAGAAGAAGTTCAATCAAATGCCATGGATGTAACATTAAACTATTTAAACTCGATTCGTAAAAGCATTTATCGTATGAGAAAAAAACCAGTCTACCGCTACCAAAATCTATTTCTAAAGTTCGTTCAGCATTAAACACTATTATAATTAAATACTTACAAAGGTGAGCATTCTTAATATGTTTTACGGGTTATATATTGTAATTGTGTATATATTAATACATGGGGGAAACTGGTACATTCGATTTGGGGAAATTGGTAAATTTGGTTGAGGGTAACTGGTATATTTTTAAAATCCCGATAACAGTCTTTAGGGCCACTTGCTAACACCCGTATGATTTTTATATACAACTATAAATTATTTACAGAACAAAGATAACCCTCATTAAAATCTAAAATCAATGAGACTTTAATCGTCTTAGAGTACATTGCAAGCATAGAATAAAAAATAGTAAAAAAAAAAGAATAGATGACGGTATTAACTCTTTTAAGCTGATTATATAATCTAACATATATCATAGAAATATTATTATTTTAGATTCTGAATATAAATACTGGTGTCATAAACCTTTTTTTATTGAACCTTATATTACAATATTTTACACAACATAATATAAAAAAATGCAAAGACATTTATTTTTAAGAAATGATTGATATAAGCATAAATTACAATATTAAAATTGAAGTTGGACGAGTTATCATTATTTTATCGTTTTAATTTTCAGATTTTACTTGACAAACCAATACAATTACCTATATATATTTATTATTTATAATTATACATATTTAAATATAAATTATATATATTTTACATTTATAATTTTCTCAAGGTATTTAACAAATATTGTCAACATTAAAATAATAATTTTCTAATGGGCAATAAAATATGAAATGTAATTAATTCCGATTTTTTAAAATTTGTCTCATCTGACGAAGAAATTTAAATTAATTTTGTTACTATCAACACATTTTTTGAAGTATATACTGTATTAATCTTAATTAAAATACATAATAACATAATAAAGCTTACATATTTTATTAAAACAGTGACTACAGAATAAGTTAGGCGTATCTTTAAATTGTTTTTTTTTTCATATTTAAGTGTAAAGTCTTTTGGGTTAACAATTAATATGAATAAATTATGAAATGAAAATGAATTTTTATTTTTTTATTCAATGAGTCAAAATATATAACTCACATGAACAAATCATACTACTAGCTTATATGTACGTACTTTTGAGAATCATATAAACACGGGTCATTGTGACAATATAGCTTAATCATAAAAACGTATCAGCTATACTATAGTAGCTATAGTATTTGACATTTTCAACATAGCAAAATTGTTTGTTAAAACATTTTCCAGACTATCATTCATAATATATTCCGAGACCAACAGGCTGAATAAATATTTGTTAAAAAGGGGATCGTGAAATTTTATAGTTAGCATATGTAGTTACATATGATTTAAATTATTTCTACCTATTTTGTACGATGATAGTTACAACCGTTGTATAGTAATACTATGTTAAGGATGTATATTTTTAAAATAAATTACAAGTAAATATGCGTAAATAATAAATATAATAACAAGTTGAAAATAATTACCGTTTTGCGCCATAAAATTGCTCTATACTGAGGTACGCATTGATGATTAGCATCTGTCAGCACGACGGACAAAAAAAACGGAACCTTGTCCATATCCGATCCAACGTAATTTTGGTGTACTAATAAAAACATAATTTAACATTACTTTTACTTACAAAAATTAATTTAAATAAAACTATTCTGTATGGAATTAATAATGCAGGAATCATATTAAATTAAGGTTATTTATAGTTGGAGCTTTAGCTACTTTAGTAAGCGATAAATAACAATTAGAAATACGTGTACATACATTTTCCCAGGAAGTATTTGAAATACCATCTTGTCTGAAACTCTGGATTTTCCAGGACTGGTGTACACGGAGATCCAAAAATCTGAAAAATAAAATGTATTAAAACGCGTTAGAAATGAAACTTGAAAAGTGCGTAATTTACAAACAATACCTAAATATGTTTTTTTAAATATTTATTATTTATGGTTTATATCAAAATATGACTTCTAAAGCGATTTTATTTTTGTACCTATTTATACAGACTTTTAAGAGAGTACTAAATCAGTTTAAAGAAGTATAGTGAAGTATTTCTAGATATCGTCGAAGCTTAAAAAATGAAAGCCTATAATTTAGAAAAATATCATAAGTGTAATAAATTATATAAATTATTATGATGTCGATGATTTTAATCAAAATAATGCGGACCTAGTCACAGAGAACTCTATTCGTAAAAAGTTGTATTGTTTATTATTATATTCATTTAATAGGTTTAACAGGTTCAATAGGTTTACATTTAATTATTAACGTAAACATGATACAACTTTACAATATAGTGATACAATCATTTGACTTAAAATTAAATATTAGCGATTCAAATATTATCTTTTTTATCTCTACACAGTCAATTTCCGTGAAAAAAAATACCTTTTTACGCTTCTTTAATAAAAAGAAGAAACATTCCTTGAATTTTAAAAATTCGTTGACTTGAAAAATATTTCTAATTCAATTTCACATTCAATGGCCGTTGAGAAAATTAACGGTGAAAAAAAAAACTAAGCATCAATGTAAGTCAGGTATATTGAAAATAAATATTTATGTTAGCAGTAGAACTTCACTTAAATATTTGAGTATAAAGTCGTCGGTAAATAATTTTAAAATAATACCAAGTGCAATTAATATAAAATATTTCAGATCAAGAGAAAAGAGAAGAAAAAATTATTTTATGAAAAGGAAAATTAAAAATGTTTTTTAGATTTTTTTAGATTTTTTTTTTTATAACATATATAGTACAGTATTATATTCACTTATTTTTTTTGTCAAATTTAAATACTTTGAAAATCTCAAAATTCCGAGTCAATGTAATTGATATTATTAAAACGAACACAAAAATTATATAGATTTGCAAAATTTTGTTCATCGCGGTCAAGTAAAATTAATATTGATTGGGTACTAAAAAATACTTGATTTAGTAGCCATAAAATCGTGAATAACAAAATATTATATATTATATTACTACGTTAAGGAACGAAAAAGGTAAACAAAATTCGAACTGAAGGGGTAAAATTTCAACTAATTACATAAATGATTGTAATCATACTTGTATCACGACTGGACTGGTTCAAATATTTTATTGGATTTATTTTGAAAATGTTTCTATTTTTAAACTCGTAAGAAGTTGCAAATGTTAGTATGAAAAAACGCAAAACATTCACAAAAAAAAATGGCTTGAAAAATAAAATAAAGTGGTACATTTTAAAAAGCTTACAAAACTAAAAAGAAAAAAGGAATACATTGACATCCAATCTCTATAAAATATAAATTTTGATGTATTGTAAATATTATAAATATTATAGACTATAATTATTACAACACATCGAAATTCGCTTACAAAATTTTATCATCATTAAACTAAATTCTATATCCTCATTATTAAAGTATAAACATGGTGATATATCTTAACAAGTTTAGTTTGTACACTATAAGCTCTTTACATCATACAACACATCCATTCAATAACAAAATGTATATAATCGTGTATATATGTATTGTACGTCATTGATTAATTACAGTATTTCTAGTCAATTTTCTTTAAAAGGAAGATTTACTATCCATTTGTCACTTTACACTCATTCGAGAGGTGAGATATTCGTGGCTGTTTAGATGAGAATGATTTATAAAACATTATTCACATCGTAACTATGTCAGAAGGAAACGATACACGAAAAAAAAAATTAAATTTATACAATGAGGTGATGGTTTTAAAAATGTTTATGATGTGCATACGCAACAATATAATACATACACATTGGTACGTATATTATATCGAACTACATAATGCATACCATTGCGTACGATAAATAATATTATGATTAAACATTTTTTACTACATGAAACGACCTAGTAAAATGGTACGTTCATTTCGTTACGAGCACGTATATTAATTATAATCTACACAATATTAATTATTGTCTTTTTTGCGTCGCAATGTAAAAAACAGAAAAATAATAAGTCCCTGGAATTATATTTATTTTATTTTGATTTTTTTTTTAACTACAGACACCTATGTGCAATATAACGAGCGACGAGGATAATAATAATGATAATTATTTTTACACACAAGTCGATGGCCCCTAAAGAGGCTCCCCGCGATGACATACACTCGAATGATCACATACAGTTTCAGCTGAAATCGTCGGACATTATATACAAGACATCATCACTGTTATTACACTGAGGTGGAGTCACTTATTCTGGGTGAACGATCCTGCACCAAACAGCATTCGTTGTACGTAAGCGATGCTCACCAATTTTCGGTGTAGTTTTATTATAAAAATTTTATTTATAGAATAAAAATTAAAAAAACCATATATTCAACGCTTTTTATTAGCAAATTTTATAAGAGAAATTCGATTTGAGTCATCCATCACAAAGTATGAATGGAAATTTATAATTTTTTTTTTCATATTTTGAAATACGAACGTGATAATTAACACAGTTGAAAAATAACTACAACTGGAGTTCAGAGTATCTATAAATTATCAAAATTGTATAGATCAAATCAGTATGTTATTTATTTACAACGACGTAGTAGACGTTTACTAGTTGAGTCCACAAGACCCTTTTTAGTCTAGTTAGATCCCAGTGTTTTATTAGGTAGATTTTCCAAGTACTATTTTAATTAGGTCAATACATATAAAACATTTCGCTTTTTATTTTTAAAGACTTGAATGTCTGTGATCTATAAATTAGAAGAATACAGGTGTGATTTTTTTTTTAATTTATAATATGGGGTATACAATGTTGAGCATTACCTAAATAAATTATCTAAATAAATTATCTATTATATTATTAATTTATTACCTTTATAATAAATTACTATTATTTTAAAATTTGTGTTATTGCAATATATGTTTAGTTATATTGTTTAAATTGTGCCTATAAGTATTATTTTTAATAATTGTTTGTATATTAAATAAAAACTATACAGTTTATACTTTCAAGTGACTCTTACATTGTAAGACTTACAATATTTGATTCCAAAGAAAAAATAATTAAATAATACAGATAATGGTTGAATTAAATTTTTAATATTTTAACCATAATAAGCGTTATATAAATTGTAATGAGTTGTTTTATAAAACAATAATATACCTACAAAGAATGTATTTTTTTTAAAACTAAGTACTTATTATTTATTACTTATTTCTTATACATAAGTGTACACAATGAAAATATTTTTTGTTTATTATTCATATTGGACGTACCAATTAGATCAAAATTAAGTTAATTTTAATTTAATTTAATTTTTTAAGTATAAATTTATAAAATAAAGTGTAAATAAATTAATAAAAAAATATATTATCTTTTTTTATTTAGATAAATAGTATTTTATCTTTTATCTTTATCAAGATAAATTATAACAAATTATATTTTATTTTTATCCAGATAAGTTTTTAGTTTGATGTTACATAATTATTAATTGAAAATTAGAACACTGGTGTACTCGTATACTAAATAAATTAAATAAATTATTTAAAAATGTACACAATTGGTTACAATTTAAACGATAGAGCTTTTACAAATTGAAATGTATTAAATTTTTAATATTATCAAGCGTGTTGATAATATTATCAATACTTATAAGTTATAGATTTTATTATTGCAGTAGTCGGGCAGAACTAGTATGTTATGGTTTTTTAGTTGAACCGAACTCGTATATTATCGTTTTTATAATCGGACCCAATTAGTTGTTTATCCTTATCATAAATATTATCTGAGATCCAACTCGGATCCGCCCTCCGTAGTTATCGTTATTATTATGGGAAAAAAAAAGACTAATTTCAAATAGAACAATTACGTACAGTTTTCAATTTACAGATATTTTACATAGAATGTTTTTCGACTGTTATTTTACTGTCCTATAAGAAGTTTTTTTAACTAGAGATTGTGGTGAAAACTAATATATTTTTTACTGTAATTAAAATATATGCCACATATGAAGATATAGTTAAATAGTATCATATTTTAGGTATTACTTATGTTTAAACACACGATTGATATGAAATTATATTGGGCGACCCTAACTGAATAACATCTTTTAAATGTACTTCTATAATATAAATTATAAATTTTATCACGTTGATGTGGTATGTCATCAGTATATAACAGTTTTCACTACGCATGAATGTATAATAGTTAAAATGCCAAATTCTTATCACTTTTGCGTTATACAATTCATATTTCAATCGATACTTGTATTAAACTATGTCTGACGTCTAAATAAATCACTCATCGTGATATCATAATTTTTAAAATAAAAACGCTGAATTTTTACAACAAAATTTCTATGTTGGACGTATCAACTTGTGATTAAAAATCTATCATAATAAACACTTAAATAGTATGTACTTCAAAACAAGAATAATTTTCTTAAACATTTTCTATGATAAACTCTTAAATAGTACACATTTCTGTACAAGAATGATTTTCTTCAATCAATAGAGTAATTATTGAAGTTGAAAACCCCGTTAATTGAATAATACTTTGGTCTGAGTGCCATTCAGAATAATACTCTGCCAAGTATAGATTACTATTCTAGAGCATTACGAATTGAAAAACCATTATTGATGATATATTTATTACATTTACGAAAAAGTTATTAATTATTTTATCCAAGTAACTGAGTGTACTTTTTTTTTTTTTTTTTTTTTTTATTTGTTTTATTACACAATCTGTAAATATATTATTTTTACAATAAGTGTAAGTGTTGTAGTAGATTTATATAAGAAGACTGAAGACTTGAGCGAAGAATCCATCCAGTGATGGGACTTCTTTGGAGTTGCGGATGGGTTTTATTCAGTCAGGAGGTCCCGACACCATTTT